CCCCCACATACACACGTGTGGTCTTCAGAGGCCTGGCACTCTGCAGAATTTTGCACTAAAAATACAGAGCCGAGGAAAAGTAGGTTAACAGCAAACCATTGGGATCTAGGAAATTGCCCTGCCCGACTTCAGCAGCCCAACCTTGACTCTGACCCTGACCCTGTGAGCCCAACCCAAGTCCAGTCTAGGGGAGATGCTTTCCTGTGAGTACAAGGTCTGAGCAGGTATCATTGTGTCAGCCCAGGAGAAAAGGCCTCCCAGATCCTCTGCTGAGCAGCAGGGAGAGAGAGCAGAGGCCCGGCCGCCATGGGCACCAAGTGGACCCGTAGGCTCTCATGTCCTTGTCTGCCAGCCCACCCCTGGCCCTTGGACCCTCCCAGCTGGCCGACCACTTGGCCCAGGGTCGGTGCAGAAGAAAGTGTGTGTGGGCACGGACCATGGTGAAGTGAAAGTTTGCTTTGGGTTGGTTTGTTTACCTGATCTGCCCTTTCTCCCTCCTGCCAGTGAAGATAGTGATCCGAGGAGACAGGAACACGGGCAAGACCGCACTGTGGCACCGGCTGCAGGGCAAGAAGTTTGTGGAGGAGTACATCCCCACGCAGGAGATCCAGGTCACCAGCATCCACTGGAACTACAAAAGTGAGGGCGGCGGGGAGTGGGACGGGGAGGGCCAGCAGCTGCCCCTTGCAGGGTGGGGGCTTGCATTCCATTGCCCTTCCTTGGCGTTGGTTCCTTGGAAGCATCTTCCTCAGCATGGTGTTGTCATGGAAACTGTACATGTGTGCAAACCCCATCACCTCAGAGGGGCTGTCATGGCTCTCATGAAAGTCACTTTTGGGACACCGAAATCGCCTCCCAGAGAAGTAGACAAGGCGGCAGGGGCTCCTCGGGGGGAGCTGGGTCCAAAGCGCCACCCTTGAGCCTGGATACCTTGGAAAGGCAAAAGGTCTGGCTTGACACGGGGCACATCCTAGGGCCAGGCCCTCCAGTGGTCGCAGCTGCCGTTGGCTCCACCAGCAGGGGGACCCTCAGTCATAGCCCCAGGTCTTTTCTTCAGGGTTTGAAAGTCCCTGTCCCCGAAAGGACTTGATGGACAGCATACCTGGTGGCCTCCTGGGCATGGCTAGAGTGGCCAGCTGCTTCCAGGAGGCGGAGGGGCTGCTCTGGGTGTTTGGGAACCATGCTTTTCAATGAAAAAATAGTGGCTCCGCAGCAGGACACACAGGCCTTTGTAGCAGTTGAGTCCCACTTAGCCACATCCAGGCCACATCCACTGCAGGGGCTGGGCGTGGCTCTGCTTCCTAGCCAAGACCACCCACCCCACCCTTGGCACCCCTTTCCCAGTCTGGATGAGGCTAGCAGGGGTGGGTGCACTAAGGTTCTCAGAATCCTTGGGGTGGAGGGTGGGTGGCCTCCCTGCCACCTAGGGAGGGAGTGTCCCAGGCCACAGCATGGGTAGACTTCTGGGCAGAGGTCCTTGGATGGTGCCCAGGGAGAGGCCTATGTCTCCAGTGGTGCCTGGACAGCCCCTAGGACCCCATCTTTATACACTAGCGGGTCACTTGGGTACTAATCTTCTTTTCCTCTTTTAGCCACCGATGACATCGTAAAAGTTGAGGTCTGGGATGTAGTTGACAAAGGTAAGTTGTGTCTTTATATCAAGTACTTTTCCCTTTCGCATTCCGTTCATCCAGTAACTAGACGAGCCCTCCTTCCTCCCTTCCTGCGCCCAGCTCGTTGGTGTGCCCTTGTCCTGTGTGGGTTCCTGTCAGACTCAGTGTCAGCTCTGCCCACCTCAGATGGTGGGGTGACCATCAGCATCTTCTCGGAGCCCTGGCTGTTGGAGATCTGGGTTGGTGCTAATCTTCTGTTTAGTGTCTGGGTCCTGGGCCAGCGCCCCTGCATCTGTGGTGGACGGGAGGTGTACACAGCAAGAACCCATCAGGGACCAAGTTCTGTGCTGTTTAAACGACTGTTTCACCCACGGAACCCGAACCTGGGCAGTGGGGTGAGAACTGTTTTGAGCTGAAGGAAACAGCCTTCTGTCTGCCAGCCCAGCCTGCTGCCTGTTGGATTGGGTCAGCAGGTGAGGGCTCAGGGAGAAGCTGTGAAAAGAGGCAGAGGTTGGTTTTTAGTACATGAACCCGTTTGTTCTGGGGGGATTAGCTTTGTCCAGCCTGCTGCACTGTGTCTGGGGGACGTGGAATCCCAGTGAGAACAGTCCTACCCCCTCAGTGTCTCTCAGCTGTAGGGGGGGAGCTCTGGGCCACTTGGGAGCCACCAGCGCCCAGCTCTGGCTCCATGGGCCTTCTCGGCCCTGTCTAGCTGTCCCCCTCAGCACTAACTCAGGGAGCCTCTATGGACTTGAAGGCAGCCCCTCTGGGCTGGGAGCTGGTCGGTCCTGGAAGGAAGTGCCCGCATTCGAAGCCGAGCCTGGTAGGGGCATCAGGGCGGTCTCACAGGCAGCTCGCTGTGCCCCTGGGCCTGCCCGTGCCTTCAAGGCCAGGCCTAGCTGTCAGCAGCTCGTTAGGGCCTTTCTCCGGGCTAGGCTGGGGCAGCCGGAGCTGCCAAGGAGGCCTCACTGGGATCCCGGTCTCATCTTGCTGCCTCAGGGCTGCTACAGTGCTCGCTGAGTAGGGGCTGGGCTTCTGGGGTCTCCAGTCATCATGGCATTTGCTGAAGGTGGGGCTGGGGAGTGGGGCATGGGGAAGGGACGCTCCTGCCTCTGGCCATCCTTAGACGTAGAGAGTCCACCTGGTGACTTTTGTGTTATTTAATCAGGAAAATGCAAAAAGCGAGGCGATGGCTTGAAGATGGAGAATGACCCCCAGGAGGTAGGCAGGATCCTGCCTTGCAGTCCTCAGGGGGCGGGGGATGCGGGCACCACTCTTCGGACTCCTCTGCCTGCCTGTCCCTCCCAGCTGCTCTCAGGACCTGATGCCCATTGTCACATTGGGGTGGCTGGGCCCACCAGAGCCACTGCCCCATGTCAGTGACCCCGTCAGACACTATGTGGAGTTCCAGTGACCTGAGAGGGACTTACGTGAACTGGCCAAAGTCTATATCCCTGTCACAGAGGCCTCAGGTCTTAAAAGCACAGGGCGTGCCTTCATGTTGTGGCCTGGGCACATGTGGGCGTGAGCATGGCTTCTAGTGGGCTGTCATGTGGCTACCTCCCTTGTCACACAGGAGTTGGGTGGACTATTGCTCTCTGTTCTGGGGCAGCTTTTCTGTTGCTTCCAAGGGCCCTTCCCTGTCCTGCTGTCCGCAGGCGGCCTCAGGACACGGGCAGCCTCCCTGTTCCCCTTCGTGGCGGAAAGGTTAAGTGACCGCCTGGCCCATTTGTGTGGCGTGTTGCCCGTCCCCAGCACAGCAGCCGCTCTGGTCTGTGTGCTCTAGAAGGTTCTCTGCAAATGTGTCCTCGGTGTTGGAATGCATACCTTGCCGTGGGGTGATGGGCGCCCCAGCACTCCTCCTGGATGGCAGAAAGTTGGGACCATGAGAGCAGGGTCCTGCTAGTGGCCAGTGGAGAAGACCCCACCCAGGTCCCAGTGGGGCCAGTCACAATAGCCCCAGAGTCTGAAGTAGTTATTGCCAGACCCTTTGAGGCAGTTTTCCGACCCCGTACTAGGTAATCTTGAGTTTACATATATTTTCCAAAGTGAAAATAGCTATTATCTTTTCTGTGTAAAAGTCTTGTTCAGCCTCTTCTGGGAGCTGTGGGCTCACACCTGTGGGATTCTGCCCACAGCACCATCTCTTACGCCCAATCCCCTCCCGTCCTCAGGCAGAGTCTGAGATGGCCCTGGATGCCGAGTTCCTGGATGTGTACAAGAACTGCAATGGGGTGGTGATGATGTTCGACATCACTAAGCAGTGGTAAGGGGCAGGCTGGGCACCCTCGCCACTCCAGCACCACCCCACCCAAGGGACATTCTGTGGGTCCAGCCAGTGGTGGTCACACCAGCCTCAACACCGGTGCCAAATGCTTCTCCAGGGCCAGCCATGGGCTGTGCACGGTGGTGGTTCAGCCACACAGAACCCCCAGCCTAGACGTTTGGGTGCCTGCAGGTGTGCACCTGAGGCCAGGGGGGGCGTGTTCACAGGCTGGCTCAGGGTTGGGGGCAAGGTGCACCTTGCACAGCACCACAGCCTTTCCTGAAGACACCATCTAAAATTTTGCGGAATCAAGTGGCGCTTTTATTGGATACTCCCAGAAGCCCCCCATTCTTTGACTTGTACTAGGAGGATGCACAGCAAAGTTCCATCTCAGTGAGAGGCTCCAGAGCAGGATCAGCAGTAGGGAGGTGCGGGGGCAAGGGTGAGGTGCTAGGCTCTAGCTCCCAGGGCCTCTGCATGGAGCCACGGTGGTGCCCAGCCCAGCTCTTCTGAGCATCCTGCAAACCTTTCCTGCAGTGCTGGATCTCACCCATACACCTGTGTGGGTGCCTGCTGGGCTGCATCCGTCTCCCACAAGTGCCCAGCAGTGACTGGGGCCCTAGGGGTCAGGTGTGCCCTGACAGCACACACAGGACAGCCATTGGGTGCAGCAGGCAGGACGATGGAGACATGCGTGGAGCAGGGGGGTGGAGTCCCAAGCACCTTGCAGGAAAAGCAGGAGCGCGCTCCACTCCTCAGGGAAGACCAGCGCCTCCCGTGGACACTGCAGGGGGCCAGTGAGCCCAGGGAGACAGGTAGCTTTCCTGTGGGTTTGCGCATGGACAGTGGCCATCTCCACATCACTGAAGTGTCCTTGAGCTTCGTTGGACAAGTAGTGACCTTCAGTGCAGGAAGAGCATTCTGAAGAGCTGGGGTGGGCCGGCTGGGGCTGCCTGTGCCTGTGTGCCAGTGTACAGGCCAGGGGGATGGGGAAGTAACGGCAGGCACATGTCCATGAGGCTGTGAGACCCGGGTCCAGCAGGCAGCTGTGCCAGGAGGGGGGCTTAGGTGTGGTCAGACAGCTGGGACCCTGAACACCAGCATGCTCGGCTCAGGCGTTGCTTGTGAGGGCCTGGAGCCCTGCTGTGCCAGAGGACAGAGGACACTGAGTCGGCCAGCGTTTTCAAGTGGGCCCTGTGGCCGGAGCAAGGCGTGGCTGCATGCACAGGCATCCCCAAGCAGGAGGGCAGGGGCACCGTTGGCCCTTTAACAGTGTAAAGTATGTGTGAGTAAAAGAAATAGAACCAGGCTCCAAACATGGTGCACACTGTACTTTTCCTGCTCTGTGCCGGCTTCCTCTGGATCTGGGAGCTTTGTCACACTTCCATTAGTTATTCCTCATGTGACAACCCTGTCAGGCGAGACAACCATCAGCCCCACAGGTGGCGTGGCCCTGTGCCAGGGGACTGCAAAACCCCCACATTACTGCAGAGCAGAGCCCTGAGCCAGCAGAAGGGACACCTCAGAGAGCGCCATGAGCCCCGTGATGTACAAAAGTTGCAGAAGGACACGTGCAGGAAGGAGACTCATGAGCAGCTAAAAATAGGCAAAACCAAAGGCTGTTTTGTGGGTTGGAGATGCCCTGAACCCCGAGGAAGGCAGGCAGTGGGCACTGGGGGG